TTCGCTTGTTTTTTGTTGTTGTTTTTTTTTTTAACTCATCCTGAGATAAATAATGACAATGTTCTCTACAAGTATACAATATTTCATTACCCAATCGTGTCGTTTTAATAAAAACGGCAACATCCTAGATCTAAGTGACTTAAATTGATAGTTTAATTAACACCATAATCCAAAAGCGACTGTTGAAATTAATTTGAAAGTATAGTCATTTTTCAACTGACTAATCTAGTCTTTGAACATCGGTAACATCACCAGTAACCGACAGAGCGACAGCAACATCTTTGATTATGCTGAAACAGGAGTGATGATGCTTCCTTCCCGTGGAAATTGAGTCTAGGCACTAGGGTCATTTCAGTTCTACATACTGCTCCTGCCTTCTTAGAGGCACGTGTCTTATAATAACGCGATTAAGATATGATTAGTTCGAACCATATTTCTAGAGGGCCACAAAAAAAGAAAACCCTCTAAGATAATTTGTATTTGTCAGTTTACTGATGTAAAATTATTTTATGAAGTCACTCCACTACATCGAATAGAATTTTTTCCATATTAAATTATCAAATTAAATCTTCTGTTACTTTCAGAATCTCGTTGAAAACTTTCGTTCATGTCACTTTAATGACCAATTATCTATGATGATAACCTCCGCCTGTACAGGAAGCGACTATTTTAAAAATTATTAATTTTTTTCTTAATCTCTGGAAACTTTTCAAATTAAATTTTCATCTACTCAATTATTCTAAAGAAAGCATTCAAAAATCACTTAAAGGTAGGAGAAAAAAAGCACAGACTACTAGAAATGCACACAGAAGGTTCCTATTTAAGCAAAATACACACATGTGATGCATTGGCCTGATTCTCATAGTTCAATCAATTATTTTGAAAGTTCTGTAGCTGTTAGTACATTTACCATACCAACGGACAGAACTCGAATCTAACTCCTCCTATGAATTTAAAAATTATAATATCGGAATCGGGGACAGTATGACAAATGCGATTAAGATAATGTTGTCAGGTCATTACAAGAATCGGGAAAAAGAGTGGACAAGTTCTATACATGCCATCATTAGCCCAATAAGTAGCAGAGCAGCAGGATTTTAAATCAATTTCATTCTAGAATAATTAAATGTAAGTCTTTTTCCACAGGCGCTGGCACAGCAGTGATTTTATTATTACAAAATAAATTGAACGTCAATAAAAAGTCGAAATAATGTTCTACGCAATTTAGCCTTCTTTATGTGAAGAGTGCAGTGTCTTTCTTTGAACAAATCTTCAGTTCTTTTTCTTTGACACTGTAATGAGGGTGTAAATTAGGTTAAAAACTCAATACGTTGATGTAGTAATGTGGCACAATAATGAAGTAAAAGCAAAAGAAAATGTAATAATGAACATCAATTTGAGCATTTTGTTTTCTAAAACCAAGGTTAAAGGTACTGCTTATTGTATTGATGCCCTGTAGTCCGAAACACCTGCCTCCTTTCAAGCCTTTGATAGATATTTTGACTGATATTGGTTGGAGTCGGAAAAGCTAGGCACTGTTTTATGGAGCTTTTCCACATCTCCAAAGATGCGTTTTTTCTAATATAACATGAAATTATCTTTACGATGACTGTTGGGCATCATCGAAACTTTCATTTTGTTCGTATCACATGGCTCTGTGAATCTTGAACACAGAGATCAGTTGTGTTAAAAATAACATGTCCATAAACAGAAATAAGAACAACACATCCATTTTTGTAACGATATTTGATTAAATCAATATGTGTTAAAATATAAGTAAGTAGAAAGACTCTTCTGGTAAGTCTATTCATATTCTTTAGAATTGGAAAATATCACAACGAGAAAAAAGGCCCCCTGCCTTCTCTTCGGGTTCTTTTAACTCTTTAAATAAATCTCGATGCCTTTGGTTATTCAAAGACAGAAGGAACCTGTACATTTATTGAATCGGAGCTAAGAGGTTATTAGGGCTAGGAATAGACACCAAGAGTTATTTCAGACTTAAGTATTCCATAAGTACATTAATATCAATTCGCTTTCCGCTTTTTTCTATGGACCAATAGGCTATTTTAATTTACATTAGTGACATTTTATTTAGGAATCAGCCAATGCTTCATTTGTTACGTTACAAGCAATTACAAGCATTTATAGGATATTCACGTATTTTCAACATTTCCTTAATACCTTGAGGTTTTTCTTCAGGTGTTGCCTTCACAACATACAGTTCATTTATGGCTGATAATAGTAAAATAAATATTAATTTCCATGCTTATTTTTAACTGTTCCTCGGACCATTTACGATTTAAAATAAAGGAAATCAGCTTTATGGATTCTCCTTTCTAAAAGTGACATCTCAATGTAAATCAGATTGATCAAGACCAAAGCTCATCCCAATCCTAAAATATAATAAAAAAAAAGTAACATTTTATCTCTCTGTAGCCGTATTTCAGTATTTTCTTTCAGGATATTACGTGTACTTATATCGCATTATAAGATACACTATCGCCTTGATATTGACATGTCTAGTTGAAAATTCCAAATTCCAATATAACAGTTTGGCATCACATTGGTAGCAGAAAACTATTCACATATCACTGCTAATTCAGAAAATATGAGAAGCCCACCTACATTCAATATGTTTTAACATTTTAACCTCAATGCTATTATGTGTCATCAATCACGCTCCATCATCTATCAGGAGATGATGACATTGTCACTCGAGAAAAATATCACATGATTTGTAAACAGAAAATTTAACTCCATATAAAAATCCATTAATATCAAGATCTCTTGCTTGCCCTCGCCAAATCCTCTAATCAGCAGACGAAATGACATTAGATTTAGTAATCTCTATCATAGCGACTGTCTATTTACTACGATTCTATATTCGGTATTCTTTATTCAACTTCAAAGAAAGGACATCATAGATTTCTTTGAGTAAACAGAATATTTCATTACTCAAATCTGAAAATCTAGCTATATTAATCTAAATTATTACTATCAAGATCAAATCAGATCATTAATATATCAGATGAGTAAAGTTAAATATCAATTATAGAAGTTAACGTTATACAATACATTATGCTTTAGATGTAGAGAACAATTTAAGTTAGAGGTCTTTGAGGCATAAAAATAGAAATGAAAAGAAGGAAAACGCCTCTTGCTTTGCACAATTATGCTTAGACTTATTCATATGTTAAAAAGTTTATTTCCAGCCTTCGCAATTTTCGTATGAATGAGGATATTTTTTTAGATTTAGTGAAATCACTTTACCATGAAGCAGTTTCCTACTGTAGGAAAAGCGTTCATTCTGACAATATCAAAAATTGAATCCTTATAGATTAAGATAAGAAAGTCAGGTTTCTTCCTGCTGACCACGGTTTATAGCTCTTTTTACATTTTCTTAAAGTCTTACAAGGCGACTTTCTAGCCCGGTTGTTTTTATTATGAAGCTGCCTGTCAATGTAATGACACATGCACATTGTTCAGTCTTCACTCTCAAAGAACTCAAAGAATTTTCTTGGATTTAATGATACAATTTTTTCTCTCATGACTCATACTAGATATCGTTAAAAAAATTCATTGTACCATTGATTGGCGATTGCGGGAAGGCATGGATCTTGGAATTGGTGGACGTTAGTAGAAAGAAATAAAAAAAAAACAATTGGCACTTACTAACGTAGAATAATTTATTTATGGAATTGCAATTTGTCATTAAGTCCACGGTAAAATTTGCTTTAATGGCCGCTAGACCATATTGAACGCCACTTGCCCATATGTTTGTAAGAAACACTATTTCTTACTTTACAAATTAGGGGAATGTAAGGTACCAGTGTGGTTGGTTAAGTAAAGCTTACAACAAATAGGGTTCATGATATTTTATATAGTTCTTTTAATCAAATCTTCGAATATAACCTTCAACAGATATTGTTCAATTAATTTCTCGTTTGTTTTGTTTAGATACATTCAGCTATTTAAAAAGACATGAGTGACTCCAAATGATAGGTGGATTGTTATATAGAAGAAACGTCAAAGTATTATTCTTCATGTAATACTAATGATTAAGACGTCTGTATGATGCCTTCACGTTTCCTCAAACGTGATGTAATGTTCAAATCTAAAAATCACAATTATTATCTGGATTAACACTAAAAACATTTCTTAGAGTGCCTGGGGCCATATCTGTCTCGCAAGTTCTCTTCAACTGATCTGAAAAATAAACATGGTGATAAACTATGATAAAATTTCCCCTGGCGTCCCGAGTTAATTTATATTTTTGTCTCTGAAATGATAATTTGTTTTTTTGCTCACTTAATGATTTACTGAGCCACACACAGTGTACAAAGAATGTCTTATGATCTTAATTTTACACATTACCTTCCAGAAAAGCTATATACTAGCCATCTATTCCAGTAGCATTTTTTTGCTACTTTGCAACATTTTCAATACAATGATGAATCAAACTCGAGGAAACAGTCGTTTACATATTTGCTGAACCAGATCATAGACCTGGGGCCTGGTTTTCGAAAGTATCGTAAGAAACGTCATATGATATATCGTAAGACAAATTTTAAGACTATCTTATGACTATCATACGACATGTAATAAAATGTAAATCAAAGCTGTCTTACGATAGTCATACCTGAGATGCTCTTGTGACTGTCATAAGTGATAACATTTACTATAAAAAAATTATAGGAAATAAAAATTATAGTTATTACTTACAAAATATATTATCAACATTAAATTTTATATGAAAATGAATTAAAATCGTAGTTTGATCATTTGTTTGAATTTAGTTTGTATATTTATTATACTTTTACATTCTCGAACTCCGTGTTTATTTATTATCTTACATGATGTGTTTGTTATCTAATTGTGAATACTTTTAAGATGTGAGACATCGAGTACATATAACCGCTTAACGAAATGCTTTTGCAAATACTTTGAGAAAGTACTATATAAGGATAAAAATAATACATTTATATTTATTATACATAATAATGAGTAAGAGAAGAAGTCCGAATTTTACATCGCAGGAGATTCAAATTTTGATAGACGAAGTGGAGAAGAATAAGTCCTTACTTTTCAGCCAACACAGCAATGTAGTAACAAACAGTGCTAAAAAGAAAACATGGGAGGCTACATGTTTCAAGATCAATGCAGTTAATGATACGGACAATCTCCGAACTGTTGAAGAAATTCGAAAAAAGTGGACTTGCTACGTTAGCAGTACGAAGCAAAAACTAGCTGAAAATAAGAGAGAAACACGACGGACTGGAGGTGGTCCCCCTCCAAATTCAGTCTCAGCAGTAGAGGAGAAAATAGCTGGGATAATAGGAAACACTCCAATTACTGGAATCGAAGGCGGTATAGATACATGCGAAACAACTGAAGAATAAGATTCTATTACTTCACTTCCTTCGTCGTCAAAGTGTAGAAAGTTTTCATCTTCAAGTTCCAGCATTGAGTAAGGTATGTAAAATCGAGTAGAGCAAATATGATTTTGTTCATATATCAAAGTTTTGGCATTCGTCTTATTTGAACTTTTTATCATATAGGCTTGAGGCCTTTGCCAAGTGGTCTAAATGGTTACTACTTAAATCTCTAGAAAGTAACACTGAGGTTGAGTGTGCATGTGCATGTTCACTCGACTATGATAAGTCGTAAGACCATCTTAAGACGTGTCTTAGTCGTAAGATACTTTCGAAAACCAGGTCCCTGGCTTTTTTGCCCTCCATATCCTTTCTATACCCCACTCCACTCCTCTGGGGACGTATATTGTCAGTCATTTTCTCTGACAATTTTAACGGACTTTGATATGTATTCATGTATTCAAAATAGTAAAATATCAGTCATGACCAATTTTGAAGAAAAGTATATACTTAAACCTCACATGAAGACAAGGTCGAATTTTAGAGCTTTCCTTTTATTAACCTCTGCTATATTAACCACTATGATCTCTTTTGGGGATCTCATACGACTGGATGTGTGGGTATAGGTTCAGAAAATGGAGTACAACAGTTTGATTCAATTCCGAATGTATAACCAAAAATGATAGTCAAATGAGAAACTTTCTTGTTTTACCATCTTTAATCATCTTCTAAATTAGAATCCGACAGTTCTTCGACAAATCAACACTTCCAATTTAGAGCGACGTTCATTTCCAGTCATTATTATTAATAATAAGTCAGAAGGTTAAAAATGCTCTCGAAATGAGGTAGCTTTAGTTTGTTTTAATCGAAGACCCGAACGTCTGATTTTAATAGTAAAAACTGATATGGATAACTGAAATTGAGATCTCCATTAGTTGACAAGTAAACTTTTAGACGACCGTATTCGTTCAATGACATTTAAAGATTATTTGTATTACTGATCTTTAGACTGAAATGCTGTATTTGCAAATTATTTTGAGTAGCATCAGGAATCTAAAGGGCACCTTAAGCGTGACATGAAAATACTTTCTCGTTTATTATTTCGTTTACAGCATCTTTATTAAATGAGTGTTAATTTCTAATTCAGTTAAGATACATCTTGAATAAATATTGAGGTTGAAGACTTTTCATCTTCATATCTTATCTGTACATAAATTGTTTATTCTGTCAGCGGACAACTGACTTTGTCTCTCCTGAACGATTCAGGACGGCTGTGGTTTCCCTTATGTTCCTCTAGAAGGCTTATCTGGTATGGTCCAGCGTAAGCAATCAAAAGATTGGTCAGTTAGAAACAGGCTGTCAACGATGCAAAACGATTTTTTCGTAAGTAAACAGACATGATGCCGGAGTATATAGGTCTAATGAATCTAATTAACATCGTCTGACTTGTACGTCTGTGAAGTTATGATAGGTTCTTACTAGACGTATTATATAGAATTTAAGTCGCTTACATGCTTCTCAACGTAATGGTGATCTGCAGATATGGATTAAGGTCTTCTGCAGGTGATCGATTTTATTAAGCCTTTACATAAACACTGCTAATTCCTTTTTATGTTGTAACAGTTGATGGTATTTAAATGCTTCAACATCAAATATATTTTAAAATAGATTCCACAACTAATTATAGCTTGCCAGTGAAGATAACATACATCTATAGCAACAGTAAGAAAATACTAATTTTTATGGCTAAAAACTCAGATCTCTTTTCTGTACTGAAATTTCATGTTATTTCCAAGTCTAGGATTTACTGCATCACTTACACCCAGCAATTTAGATCTTATGATGTAATACTAACAATACTTGCGTTAGGATAATACAATGACTATAATTGAACATATGACTCTTGTGAATGTATACGCATATGTTAAGGGTGTCTTCCCACGAAGTCACTGCTAGAAACTTACAAATTCCCACGAAGTCACCGTTTTATTTTCTTTGATGATTTACAGTTATGCCGCTACGGGATTAAAGGTGTTAAGAGCTCATTAACGGTGACATAAATTCATGACAATCGTTCACTATTTATTAAAATGACTAATTATCAGTGTCACTCATTGTTTGGCATCTTTGAGGTGTGCGGTATTACCAATGGTTCCATACGATATGGTGTGGGATGTTTTTATCAATGCCATGGGTGATATGCCAGACGACCCCAGATTAGTAGAACTTACAGACTACGTTACAAGTCAATGGTTGGAGGGTGTTTATGGATTACATGAATGGAACCATTATGGATGGTGCAGTATGCGGCCGGTCAGCAGCGACCTCCCAAAAAACGAAAATACAAGACACTTTAATCAAGAATGAGCAATAATATAGAACAGTATAGAAATAACGTACTAAATGTATACGAGTTTGCAGATTCTGTAACATATTTGTTAAAACTGAAATAGTAAATGTTGTAAATAAATGAATTAGTTGAAGAATATTGTTAATTGGCTACAACCCGATTACATCGGCTTAAGCGTACTATGATAACATCCAGTAATCCTATTGTTCTCAAAATCCATTTTTTTGACAAAATTCCCAGGAAGTCACCGTTTTTTGGTTTCTACATGGTTAATTAAGACCCAAGCGGTGACTTCATGGGCATGAACCATGTTAAGACAAACACGTAGCTTAGTGGTACATATTAATTCACGGCATGCTCTCACAAATGGGAAACTTTGTATCTTATCCATGTTTAATTTAATCATTATCAAGTTATCATACAGTCATATACCTCAAGGTTATTTATATTAGTGATTAATTTATTGCCATTCCAACGCATCAATATAATATATAGAAATATATACTGATTTATTGTTTATCAATATTGTATTAATTTGTAAGCATAATAATTTAAATCACTGACTGCAACCCCACGCACTTCCTCTAACATCCGTTTGAATGACAGTTAAATTAGGTAGTGTTAGAAAGTTAATTGCGATAGGTTACACAAAAAATAAAACAATTTCACGCGATTTTACGTTTAGTTCAGTTGAGAAAACTGTTCACATGTCAAAAATTGAAAAGAAAATTTTTGATAAAAAATATTTGTCGACAACGACGAATGACATTCTTCGGAAAATTATGTTTCTCAACAATAAACGTTGATATGATAATATTTTAACATTTGTGCTCCAGTAACGGGGGATATTAGTAAATTATAAATAATTCGTTGATATTTTCTTCAATATGTAGATCGTACTCTATTCATGAAGTGAAAATAAAACATGGTATTGGCAATTCACTATCACAACTTGTGGCATTAAGAATATAAGAAGAAAATGACATTTCCAAATGCAATACTCAATTTTATCTGACAAATGTATTTTGTATCGTGTAATGATCTTTAAAATTGTTTTCTTGTAGAAGTTAGGATAAATACAACTTTGATGAAAGAGCTATCACTGTTCTGCGGACACAAGAGATTTATTGTTGGAAAATTAAATCGCAAAAAATATTGCTGCATGATGAAATTTATATGAATGGAAATTACTGAAATTAGAGAAAATATTCTTGCTGCTTTCGATTGGTTCTCTGTTAATTTATATCGACGATTGTGTTCCCACCTTTTGCTCAGTTCCGACTGATATGTTACAAATATTACATGTATTATTTACAAAATGAAGTGAACATGGCAATTATGTTTTGGTCAAATTATACTCTTTTTCGAAATTCCGTTTCTGATGTCTTCATAAATGCATCAGCGTCCAATAGGTCCTCTGCTGGTCAGTTCGTAGTATACAGCCTATAGTCTTGAGAAAAGACACCACCAACAATCACAGATTGGATTGTCATGTTGCAAGATATTATTGGTAATTATTCTAAACATGTAACTGCAACGGTATACACTCAATGAAATCAGCTATGGATTAATTTAAAAAGAGGTCTAATTATTAAAGAAAATATTCAGTTGAATCATTACAATAGGATGTATATTCTCAGTATTTCAGTTGACTCGTTTTGCGAGCAAATATGAATGCATAATAATGACAAGCATTTTCTCTCTGTATAATTGTAGGCAATACTTTCTTTCTTTCTTTGACGGTCATTGAGTCCATATTTTCAATTCAAATTTCACAGTAAAACAAAGGGAATAATTTTAATAAACTGATGACATACAGCTTAAAGCTAACCAGGCTAATAAAGGCGCAAATTGGTGTTTTGCTTGAGGAATTCCACCGATAATATTGCTACAGGGTAAGGCCAAAACATAATTGATGCCGAGACAAAACATTAACTGGCACGTTAATGAAAGAAATTCTTAAGGCGGTATAGATCCTTAACAATAGTAATAATATAGCTGATGATCACATTATTACGACTCTTATATGATAGGCATTGTAGTGTTTTTTCTTAACACAAATTTCAGTATTTGTGAAATGATGAAATATATTCCGACGAAATAGTGTTTGTTGTATTCTACCAAAAACAAATAGTAGTAGGTGGAAACAGCTCAACGACCTGACTGGAGTTTGATTCTCCACCTTTTTTTCTGATTGCTGAAATCATAACCCTCTAATTTGAAATAGCCGGTATTTAATGTAGACTGTAGAAGTGTTGACACAGTCTTTTCATACATATAATTATAAATTATACGTTCATCATTTTTCCGTGGAATTTATAATATAAAATGTAATAACATAATAATAAGAGGATTATCCGTTTTACAACATGTACTATATTTTGCAGATGGTGTTACGACATGACCTACTGAGTGGTCTTTTGTCCCAGTTATAAGACATTATATGGTGATACGTTAACTGTAGACAAAAAGGCCTAGACTACGTAACATAATATCTTCAAGATATATGATCGATGTAGTAGAATTTAATAAGAAATCAATATGACATAGATTTAATCTTACAAAATATATTTCTATGAACACTGTAATAAACTTGTGAATCAATCAAGGTAAAAAGGTACACAATATAAAATAAGGTTAATTTCATTGATTTCTTTCTTATACCAAGGGACCTCTT